ATGTTAGCTTGCTTATTTTGCTCAAGATCTACATGTCATGCTAGCAAGAAACTATGCTTCTAATCACAGGTCGAGAGCTGATTGTAAATCTTTGTAACTATAGCTCAACAACAAAATTGTTGAACTGTGTTAATAACGAAGCTAACTCACAACCTTAGTTGGCTAAGAATGCTTTTGGGAAACACACCCCAAACACACACTTACGGTACTGGTACATTTACATGACAGCGATATATAAAAAAAAATTTAAGTTTTTCCATCCCGTTTTTGAAAAGATCCCAGTTCATACAGATCCATGAAAACAACTAAAAACGCTGTATTATTCATGCCAAGCCAGTAGTTGGCGATGTTATTTGGCCTGCGCACATACCTATAGACTGAACACGTAATACGCATGTGCATGACGTCACCATTTTCACAAATCTGTGTTTTTGTAATTTACACAGAGACGATAATGGTATCATTTTCAAAACTTGCCATTTTTACCCCATTTTCAAAAGTTTGTGTTTTTAGGCCCCCAAACACCGTTGTTGTGTAAATTAATGGCCAAAACACATAAAAAAGGTTTCAGTTTTTAGTTGAAAATAGTGTTGTGTAAACATACTCTTAATCAAGTAATTACTTCTGTCATCTGAATTTTTTATTTAAACATGAGACGTGGATGTTAATTCATGCCGTGTATTACAAAAAATGCTTTACGAAAGAGATTACTATAATAAACCATAATTTCATTTAAAAAAACTGTTTACAATTTTTGTTTAATCTATATTTAAGGCCAATTATGGGGAATTATTTCTGATAATTTGCAAATGAATCATTAATTGAATGATTAAACTAGAACTGTTCGATGGAATCAAAACAAGCATCTTTCCATTTCTTACTAGGGCTGTAAAAAAAATTCGAATTTTGAATATTCGTCGAATTTAAAATAAAAATCCACATTCGAATGCAAAAATGTTGCATTCGAATTTTATGTGTGCATCAGGCAGCCTTATCAGTGGCGCACAAGATGCGATGACGATGTAAGTGTCGTTGCATTTTAATGTTTTTCTTAGTCTATCTAGTTGAACCCACTAGATGCGGCGCTGCTACGTTGTTCATTCAAAATATTGCGTGAAAGAGAACATCAATGCGGAGAAGATCTTGTTTACGTCAAAACTGAAACCAAGCCGTTCACACACAACACATTTATCGCATTTTCTAGAGGGACATCTATCACCTTTGTGTACCGTAATGTAAGTTCAAATTTTAAAAAAAATGTCTCGAGACTTTATGGCAGTTTTTCCCCATCCCAATCAATCTCATGTTTTTAAATGAAAAAGTACTCTTTGTGATTGGTTTTCGGTCCTTTGTATTAAACTATACATACATACATGATGCTGTTTTGTTTATAGTTGTTTAAGCAACTTAATTAATTATATATGGTTTATAAACATTAAACATGCACTTTCTTCAAAGATATTCGCGTTATTTTATTGCTTTGAAGAAACGTGCATTAGTAATATTTTGCTCGATGCGCCCTCTTGTGGCCACAGGAGAGAAGCCAAAAGCTTTTTTTCCCCTAACTGAAATTATGCCTTTTAAATTAGAATCGTACTGTATCGCGTACCTTGTCAGTGTCGTGCGCTTTGCTTGGCCATTTGTTGTGATAAACAGGAAAGTGTGTTCAAGCGCCAGCAAAACAGTGTAAAGAAATACTCTTTGTGAGAAGCAGTCAATCAGCAGAAGTTAAAAGCAGCTTGTAAGTGTATTTATTTCTTGTCTCAGTGTTTAGCGCAGTTGTCGTTGCTAGGAAACGCTTGTTTTGTTTACTGTGGAGACGTGCTGAAATGGCGTTTGGTCTCGTACTGTATCGCGTACCTTGTCAGTGTCGTGCGCTTTGCTTGGCCATTTGTTGTGATAAACAGGAAAGTGTGTTCAAGCGCCAGCAGAAAACAGTGTAAAGAAATACTCTTTGTGAGAAGCAGTCAATCAGCAGAAGTTAAAAGCAGCTTGTAAGTGTATTTATTTCTTGTCTCAGTGTTTAGCGCAGTTGTCGTTGCTAGGAAACGCTTGTTTTGTTTACTGTGGAGACGTGCTGAAATCGCGTTTGGTCTCGTACTGTATCGCGTACCTTGTCAGTGTCGTACGCTTTGCTTGGCCATTTGTTGTGATAAACAGGAAAGTGTGTCCAGCTGAATTCAATTTGAGTTTTGTTAAACGAATAAAAAAGAAGCTTAGTTTACCGCGGAAGCGGTCGTGTGAAGTCCGAAGAGTGTAAAGACCATCGACTCTACCGTGCGACTCCACCTGGCAGGGACACCGGCAAAGGATAAGTATCGCTTTTTTATTTCTCCTCTTTCCTACTACTTGTTTCACTTCTGTTTCAGTTTTTTATTACCATTTCTTACTATGTGTCAGTAAGTTGTTGATATTTTAGCATGCGTGTTTGGCTCAGTGTTATTTTTTGGGATTACTGATAAACTAATGTAGTTTGATTTGTATTAGTTATCTATTTTAGTTGTAGTTACAGTTGTAGTAATGTTGTCATTTTATTAGTTTTTTATTATGTCTATTTTGAATTGTTTTTAGCTTTATTTTTTTGTTTTTATTTAAATGTTTTAGTTTTGAAATGTTGTTGTATGCATTTGTCATTTTTATCTAATTTATTTTATTTTCTTAAGTGTGTGTGTGTGTGTGTGTGTGTGTATATATATATATATATATATATATATTAGTATTTATAGAGTTTTAGCTTTTAGTTTTAATTACTTTTTCTTATTTGTAAGTCACGTTGGATAAAAGCGTCTGCTAAATGACTAAAAGTAAAGTAAAGTAAAGTAAAGTAAATTCGAATAGAATTCAGATATGGATAATATTTAAGTACAAAATTCAAATTTAGTTTTTCAGCCATTTTGACAGGCCTATTCCTTACAAAGTCCATGTCTAGAGCTAACAGAGACGTTCAATGCTGGACATGTGCTTTTGAAATATATTGAGAAACAAAACAGACACCGAATTTTAAATACAAGTGCACGCTGTTTAGACAGAATATGAGAGAATAAGAGAATTTGAATTGGAATTCATTTTGAATTGAAAGGAGTGTGTGATATGGCAGTTTAGTGTGGTCAGGTCTGAGACTGGTACATGATGTAATAGGCCTCAGCAGAGGAGGGCCGCGGGGCGAGAGAACGCGCCCCTCTCTGGGCGCTTCTAGACACTCCTGCTTGTGGAGAGGAGGAGGATCGAGGTGGAGATGGAGCTATGGATGAAAGTGGAGGAGGACAAGACTGCGATCCAGGACAGGACTTTTGCAAGGAGAGTTGGAGGAGAGTAAACAAAGGGAAGGAAAGGATGGACAACCAGTGAAGGACAGGAACAAGAGGAAAAAAGGGGGAAAAGACAATGAAACGAAGAGGAGGAGGCGTCAGTTTCTTATTGTTTGCTTTTCCTATTTCCTTTTTTACTACTTTCTCCTTTTAGACCTACTTTGGTTGTCAATAAACTAACAGACTCATGCAGCATCATTACGCAGTGTAATCCAGCCATGCGATTCGCAGATCAAAGCAGAGGAAAGCCGGCGCTAGCCATTCAGAGAGCAGCAGCAGTAGTAAAGGGGCGTGGCTTTGGGAGCGGGCGTGGTCAGGGGGTCTATAAAAGCTGCGGCAGTGAGCAGATTCAGAGAGAGAGGAAATCTCCTACTCTGATTGGGCCATGGCCATAGCGTCCAGCGGCCATTTGAGCTTCTGCTTGTGCCATTCTTTATCTACATAAAGAAACGTCAGTCTTTTCAGGTGCAGATGCTTCGCAGCCCTGGCAGTAATGACCAAATGAGAGTACGTTTACCTCCGATATACCCCCCGCTACTCTGTGTACGGGTAGGAGAGGAGGCGTCTTCACCTGTGTGCACACGTGCCCACACACACACACACACACACAGACACACTGAGAGTTTATAAAATAACTGCTTATTCAGATAACATGCTACATGTGTCAATGAGCAACTAGATGCATTCTGTATCAGTGAAAAAAGAAAATGAATTAAATCCTTTAATAAAACTTCTCTACCAAATGTAAAACTTAAAATTTAATTTTAAAGAAATTTTAAAATTCTTTGTTCACATACTTTCCAGTTTTATATAATTTCCTTTTTTCTGTGAAACAAAAAGGAGACAATTGGAAGATTTATACTTCTATTTGTATGAGTATAGAAGATTTGAAGTATTCATGTGTCATGCAGACTGCTTTTTGGTGTTTTCACATCCTTTTTCTACTGTTTCCCAGAGGGACTAAGAGCAACCAGCACAACTCTCCTTTGTATTCCATAGAAGAAAGAAAGCGGAGCTTGATTAGCATGAGTTGTTCTTATGATTCAGAATGATTTTAACAGGCTGACAGAATAAGCATTCAGATCCATGGGTGAAGTTCTGAAGTTGTCTAATTTACTGCCTGTCACATCAAACAGACTGTGACCAAAAAATGCACCATACTGAGACTGTTACAACATGGCTGATGTAAACCTTTCTCTAAAAATGTATATGTTTATTGAGATTCAGGCTAACTTATAAATAAACATATAAAGTGACTTTTTTTAAAGGAAACAGAAAATATACACAAAATGCAAATAATGTTTCAGCAGTCACTGAAAACAGCACTGCAATCCACCCAAAAGTTCAAAACAGAGATAACTCAGAAAAGAAAGCATAATATACCCATTGTTCATTGACATCTAATTTACTCACAACGAACAAACTCTGAGTATCCTTCAAAGATTTTATGCCACTTTTGGCAAACTTTGGAAAAACCAGTCACTAGTTCTTCCCCAAAAAGTGCTCATTGTATTGACATGAAACCCTGTCAACATACTAGGCAGCTAAACACCAATGGATGGCCAAAGTTACCTCCATTTCATGAAGCCAGCAGTCTATCATCAATACTTTTCCAGTCTTTAAGAAAAAGGCATACAAAGGCTCTAAAATCCAACAGTGAAGTGTACTGTAACCTTTAACCCCAGTACTCACATCGGGCTGCAGCTGGCCGTTGATGCTGGCGGTCCGGAAGGGCGAGTTGGTGGACAGACGCTTGTCCCACTCGCTGGGCCTGGGCTCGGGCACCGACTCCATGAAGCTCCGCTTGAGCTCGCTGATACTGGTGTGATGACGCATGATTTCTGTCTGTGTCTTATCCACGTCCTGAGAGAGAAAGAGAGGTCCAGGCAGAGAGAAAGCGCACCAAAAAGGTCAAAAGAAAAAAAATGAGGATAGCAGAAGAGAAATTTGGGAACCAATAGCAAAATTGAGATAAAAAAGAGAGAGCACAGGAAGATGAAGGACAGATGAAGAAATTAAGAGAGGGGAAATAACCCAATGAAGACATCTCATTAGTAAGATGATCTGACATGAATCACTGTTTTACCCCAAACTATCTCAGGGGCGTCACATCTAGGGTTGGGAATCAAGTATTTGCACTGCATAATTTCAAGATATTTGGTTTCATTAACAATACTTGAGTGTCAAAAGATCCCATCTAGAGTTGGTTGTGAGGTTGCAGTCTGAATTGAATTTGAGCTACACTCTTAAAAATAGATTCCAAAATAGACTTTTTGCTGTGATTCCATAGAAGAACAATTTTGGGATCCTCAAAGAACCTTCAGTGAACAGTTCTTAAAAGAACCTACTAAAAAAACTTTTTTTCCACTTGTTTCATGGATGGCAAAGGTTCTTCACCATAGATGACAATAAAGAATGTTTATTTTTAAGAGTGTATACAAAATAATACAACAACAATAGACTACACATTCATATTGCATTGTCCTCGCTGGTTGCATGTAACATCAAAAACATCAAGTACAACCGGTGTAGGTGTGAATGACTCATCAGCTATTTTTAATGAATCAGCCAAAGCAACTCTCAAATCAGTCTTGAACTCATGGGTTTATAATGGGTTTGAACTCACCGAACAATTCACTTACTGAATTGTTATAGTACATTTTATATAGTTAAAGGAACCAAAATCATTATATTTCCTGTGATCCCCATCCCTAGTCACATTATTTTCAGTCGAGTGAATGACACACACAAAGCCATTCAACAGATCGGCCACTGGCCACCAAGACACAGGTCTCTTCTTTCCACTTTCACTGTCTTCTAACTGCATGCTCCTCTTTTTTCATCACCTGAAGCCTGATTTGTCTCCCATCATCTCGGCTCAGTGGCATCGGGTAATCAGCTATGCTCAGACACTGCGAGGCTATGAATATTCATGTCAGAGAGGAGGCTTTGTGATTGCCCAAAACAAATGATCCATGTGTGCACAGACAGATTGTGATTAATGAGCTCGAGAGAGAGAGAGAGAGAGACAGATCAGCTGATCTTTATTCACATAACTACAGACTTCGGAAATAAAACAGATCTGTGTCTTGGTGCCCAACAGAACATCTGCGAGAACGAAACACTCTCATGACAAACCATCCCTCATCATCTACATCAGACTTCAGACTGACAGCTGACACGTAAAAATAAACAATGCCAAGATGTTTGTCTGTCTCCTTAATTTTTGACCTAATCCTTTTAAAGGGATAGTTCACCCAAAAATGAAAATTATGCCATCAATTACTCACCCTCATGTTGTTTACAATTCCTCTGATTGTAAACAAGGTGCTGTGTTTTCTTTTCTTTGCGCACAAAAAGTATTCTTGCAGCTGTTGAATCAATGAAGTCACATGGATTATTTTATGTCCTTACTACCTTTCTAGGCCTTGCACCTGGTAGTACACTTGCTGTCTATGCAGGGCCAGAAAGCTCTAGGATTTCATCGAAAATATCTTAATTTATGTTCTGAAGATGAACGAAGGTCTTACAGGTTTGGAACGACATGACGGTGAGTAATTAATGACAGAAAAAAATCCATTTTTGGGTGAACTATCCCTTTAAGCATCATTGAAGTTACAAGCTACACAAGTGTGTAACATTTAAGATCACAGGTTAGTCATTTGAAACTGCTATGTGGCAAACTAATAACAAATGGAAAGCATTGTGGTATAGTTAAGACACTATGGTTTTGTTCCAAACTCTAGTGAGCTGCTAAGCTAGACATTTTAAAGTGGAAATGAAACATTTATTAGAAAACCATCTTATTTTCCAAATTTCTACCAAGCCATCTAGCTAGCGAGCCACCATGTTGGAGTGACATTGCTATCTACGTAGTGTTGTTGGTTAGCTCAGATAAAAACAAATAGAGCATATAACTTGCCCAACTCAAAGTCTTCTCCTCTACACATGTACATGAGAAAGTTTGAAATCTTTGACCAGTGTCTGCACTTTTTCTTTCCAAAAGGTATAAGGGATAAAAAAATATATCTGTACTCATTTAAACTAGAGTTGTGTTGGTATCTTTTATTACCCTCATACAAGCACTTGTCAAACAGGCATCTATTGTCGAATGCCTGTTGAGTGAGTGTACAGAGTATGTACGGTTAGAAAAATCTTGCTTCATATGTACAGTACAATGCTAATGTTAAAATTCGCATCACACGCACTGTACACATAGCCTAGCATACATGTAAAAACCAAAGTGTATATTCGGCTTTAGTCAGCAACATTATTCTGCCTCCACAGATACCTTGTTTGGCAGAATTTTAAGGTAACATTCTATATATCATTTCCAAAAAAGGAAATCCAGGAATGCATTGCAATAAGGTTTTCAATATGTATTAAAGCATTGTGTCTGTAGCTTAGCAACGTTAATATCAGCTCTATAACAATCATTAGCTCATCCATGAACATGATTGCTGCCCGAGTCCCGTCGAATTGCATCGGCTGTGGGGATGAAGACGACAACTCCCCTGATTCCATATTCAGTCACGGCGTCATCAAACTATGCCTTTGTTTCAGTCTAGCGGCGAAAACTTACATATTGTGCCTTTAAGTAGCACTATTTTGTATGGTTTTGCTGGAGCTTACTTAAAAAGCTAGTCTGGCAAAGCAGCTCACTATGGTTTGTGAAAAAAAAAAATAGAATTTCTGTTTTTAAATCATTAATTAATCTCTTCTAAATGCTAATTTGTTATTAGGAGGAGAGAGATGAGGTGGTGATCATGTGAGCACTTCAGAAGTTTTACCATTAGATAAACTGTTCAAGCTCCAGTGTGAACAAAGCCTGGGTTCAGACATGGGTCAAATGACTAGATTCTGATCTCTACACAAGCTGTTTCAAAAACTGGTCTAAATCAATGCAAAACTAGTGTACTAAATAAATCATATGCTGTCACCATTCGCTGCAGCATATGATGGATATTTGTCCCATGTCTGCTGATTTATGAAACAAAGCAGAGTGCAAAACAGTGCTTGGCTCAAACACCAACAGCAATCTTAAACACTTAATATAATAATAGTGTATGTGATGGACACATAGTGTTATATATGAAATTCGGTTAGATACAGAGGTCACAGGGTTAGAGAAGAGGTCAGTGGGTAGGTGAAGGGGTTAATGTCACAGAATCCATCTGGGTTTCAAACTCATCAGACCTAACAACAGTGGAAACAGCCTTTGTAGTAACTATGTAAATATATGACTGGGACAGGCTGTACAGATTGTATACTGTGTAACACTACAAATCAGTAATATTATAATCATGTGATCTGGTAACAAATAAAACAATAAAAGCATGCATTAGCAAGCTAAATGTACAGCCAATGATTATATATCTGTCTAAACAGTAGTCTTCAGTATATTTATGGGCTTGTCACAGTATGTTTAACCCTGGGTAAACATCTTTTTAACCCAGGCTAAAGGCCACTTTAACCCTGAGTCATGAAATCCTGTATTAGAAGCATGTCGGCATGTTTTTTGTTGTACTAAACTCCAATCTGTGGTGCCAAACAGCATGAAACAATGTGGTGCTAGAAAGTTACAGCAAGCAGTTTAGCAATTAAAAACCAATCGTAAACTAAACACAGGGTTATAATTGGGTTATTCATTTCAAGTGTGAAAAGCCCATTAGAAATATTTAGAAAAGGTAAAACAGGCAAGAGTCTACTGTAAAAATTAAACAAAGGCATTCATGATAAGAGCCTAACATGCTCTAAAAAGCATCTAACGTTGCTTCAATTAAATAACATTTACACAAAATTGTACTCATTAAAAAGCTTTTTTATGCGATCCAACTACTGGCTAAATTTTTGGATCGGCTCAATTTTGCATTCAATTAAAAACAAAAAAAAGCATTTAATATAAAAGAAGCAAAAAAATAATAATTCCCAATCATATATTTAATAAAATAGTGCTAAGCAAACAGAGAATAAATAGAAGCGAGTACTTGCATTACAGTTAGTGAGGTAAATAGTGCATGCCAAGCCTTTAGGGTTAAGCTACAAAACAAACCAAAACACAAGAGAGAGAGTGCGGTGAGAAGAATGAAGAAAGAAACAAGATGAAACAGAATCTCATGCAGTGATACATGCAGCAGCAAAAACAAGACATTTCCAGAGTTTCCATACAAACCTCCAACATTAAATTGCTATGTCTGATATAAACAGTTTCACCCTCAATTTTCTTAGCTCTTTTCTGTGAAGAACAGAGAAAAAATAGAGTTGGCAGTGTTTTGAACGTTGAGAAAGTCGTGAAATGATTCTTGGGTCATTTTGAAGGTTTGATCTGCAGTTGCATTCAGTGTGTGGGGACGTGTAGGGATGGAGACAAATCAAATATGGATGAACCGCAGCAGCCGCAGCTAGACAGAGAGGAGAGGTCAGAGGTCAGGGGTGACTGCGAGGTCAGGGATAATTGTGCAATGGGTAAAGTTTATGAGGTATCAGTTTAAAATTAAACATCTCTTTGCCATTATTGGTGAAACACTGTGTATTTGCTGTACAACTCTCTGGTGTTATCAAAACAGCATCCTGACTATCCTGACCAAGCAACACTGGCTTAACCCGTCCAAATCTTGTCTTGTTGTAAGATGTATATCAGTGACTTTGTCCATAATTTTGTGATGATCTGTAAAACCACACTACTAGTCAAAGGTTTGGACATACGTGACTGAATATTCATTTCTGGTGGGCTTTTGATCTAGTGAAAAAAGAAGTGTGCTTATTGTATTGAATGTGCATTTGTAGTGTACTTCAAATCTCAATATATTTCAGTATATATATATATATATATATATAAAACTTATAATAATGAAATAAAAGGCCACCTAAGTGTACTTTCATATGTTTCTTAACACTTTTTAAAAGTGCACTTTATAATAAGGTCAAATTAAGTTTTACTTTAAAGTGCATTTAAAATTTTGGAAATTATCTTTTGTTGTGCTTATCTACATTTCTGAACCAAGTGATGGTGGTCATAGACATATGCAATGTATTGTGTGTTGTAGCTTTATCTAGCATATGGTTCTGTGTAAAAAAGTAGCCAATCATGTATAGTCTAGGCCTGTTTGAAAGGTATTTCTACTGGTTTTGAGAATGACACACTGCGTGTACAGTCAGGCGAGAGCACATCTTTAGAGAGCCTATCTGTATTAGAGAAGAGACCCATTGCTCTGATTTCTTCTTTTCTGCCAGTGTTACCATTGCAAAAGCATCCAACTACACAAAAAGATCAACAATACTTCAGACACTCGCAAACTGAGGAGGCATGTACCTTTTCCCTCCCACATCCTCCCTAATGCCTGACAACTTTGCCCATTTTTCACAGATACAGTAACAATCAGCAGCAGGCAATTCTCAACACAACAAACTTAACAAACACCCACGACTCACATGCAAATCTCTATTCTCCTCTTATGGAGGCAGAGGTCTCTAAAGTTCTCCTCTCTAACCATCCTACCTCCAGCCCCATTGATCCAATTCCCTCCCATCTTTAATATGCCATCTCTCCTACACTTTAACCTGCACTCACATCCATCATAAATGCATCACTACGCACTGGCACTCTTCCCAACACATTCAAGCCGACTTGTGCAACCGACACTAAATACCAGACCACCTGCAGACTAGTCTCTCCTCCAGTTCACTACGAAAAACACTTGAGCACGATGTTTTCTTCTTTCTTCCCACAGAACAAGATGCTGGACAGCAAATCAGTGAGGATTTGACTTGATTGACTTGATTACAAAGTGGACATTCAACAGATACATCCTTGACTAAAGCCTTTGTGGGTGGAAAAGACATAATCCGTCTTCATTTTGTTGAACTTGTATGCTGCCTTTGACACTGTCTCTTTTCTAACTTCTCCAATTTGGGCATCACAAACAAGCAGAGAAAGGCTCCTAAGTCCTACCTTACAGGTCGATTCTTCAGGGGATCACGAGGTATCAACTAACCATAGGGGTACTGCAGGGTTCAGTGCTTGGCCCCTTCTCCTTTTCAATATATACATTTATACTACTGGGATCATCCAGGATGTGGGTTTTTTCAGGAAAACAGGTATGTCCAAACCTCTAACTGGTAGTGTATATAAAGTGCAAACATCTGATTGATTTTGTTCTGCAGTTCTGTTATACATTATCAGTTTGTTTCAGTTGACAGATCTAAAGTTTTGAACAAGCTTTAAATTTGAACAAGTTTTAAATTACTTCTCTAAATGTCTATAAATTGAAAGTCTGATTTAAAGTTTTTCTTTCAATTATTACTTATCTCAGTTGGTTTTAAAGTTGGAGTAACTCAGGTTTGAAGCAGGAGAACACAGTTTATCTTCTAAAAACTATTTTGTCTATGTAAAAGACAGAGCATGACAGGGGACAATGCATGCTAGAGTAAATGCCACAATAACAATGCAGAAGTTCATTTGAACTTCACTCATAATGAACACTTTCCTCATTCCGTAAACCTCAGTTTGTACTGACTCACTGTCGCTGCCTGATTAGGTTCATATCTGACAGCTACAGTGCTGTCTGGTACAGCCAAACTCATACAAGTGCAAGCAAGATACAGCCAAAGCAGAAGAGAAAACAATAATAAAATGATCTTTTTGTTGTAAAACATGGGCAGTGAGGAGATGATGAGTACAATGGCATCGTCCTCATGCTGCGATACCCATACGGAACGAGCTCTGACCTTCCTCATGCGCACCATCTCTGTGTCCGCCCGTGGCGACTGTTCAGACCCCAGAGGGGAAGGAAGAGAGCATGTAAGTGTTTATGAAACAAGCTACTTTGCTACTCACTTACCAGTGAAAAAGCTTGATTCACAATGGTAGTAATTTCTTTACAGCTGTACATGTATGTCTTATAGTATGTAATATTGTCAGAATGCTCTAATATATAGTTTAACACAAATATCTGCTGATGATCTATTATTGGAAGTCATATTACTGCTTTTGCAAGTGATCCTTCGCTAAGCCCCACCTTAACATTTCTGACCAATCCAACACTACATTTTACATTTTACATTTATGCATTTGGCTGACACTTTTATCCAAAGCGACTCACATTGCATTTAAGGTACAAGTCTCTTATGCTCTCCAAGGCTACATTTATATGATCAAAAATACAGTAAAAACAGTAATATAGTGAAATATTATTACAATCTAAAATCACTGTTTTCAGTATATTTAAAAATTTGATTTATTCCTGTGATGCAAAGCTGAATTTTCAGCAGCCATTACTCCAGTCTTCAGTGTCACATGACCTTTCAGAAATGCTCATTTGCTGGTCAATTATTAATACAATTTCTTATTATCAATGTTGGAAACATTTTGTGCTGCTTAATATTTTTGTGGATTTTTTTTTTTGTCTTTACTGTTGTGTCTTGACAAATAAAAAGTATTCATTTATTTTTTTTAAACCATGCTTACCCTAAACTTATAAGTGGTAGTGTATCAAAAAATATTAAGAAGCGATATTGATAACATTGATCAACATCAATAATAATCATAAATGTTTCTTGAGCATCAAATCAGCATATTGGGATGATTTCTGAAGGATCATGTGACACTGAAGACTGGAAGAATAAATTACATTTGAAAATATATTTTCAATTTTACTGTCTTTGCTGTATTTTTGATCAAATAAATGCAGCCTTGATGAGCATGAAGAGACTTCTTAAGATACTGAACAATCTCAATTATTGCAAACTTTTAAACAGTGTATGTGTAACAAGGTATATTAATGTTAATAACTTAACATACTTCTTTTACATATATAGAAGACTGTAGTTGTGGGACATTTTGTAAAACTTGTCTGAGCGAGAAAAAGTAATCAAAAGAGGTGAAGCTTAGTGATTGGCCAACTGTCTAAAATGTTTTTGCATATAATAACAAAATGAAGGTGGCCACTAGGGTAACTAACTGTTGTACATGCTCTTATGTGATTGGCTGAAATCATGAGCACAAACCTGGCTCTTTCTCTCCCCATTGGTGGCCGTCACCACCGGGGCATCACGGTGTCGCCGTTCTCGCCGGGCTACCGTCTGCAGTAGCACAGAGAGAGTACACATACTCCTGCTGTCTCACACAGACCTAAATATCATGGCTGTCTTGCATTTGTGGTCACAAGCGAAGATGCATTTTGTTGCTAATTTGCGCTGGTTTTTATGTCGAGCTTGGTGAGAATAAGCCGTATTGCTGTATGAACACGTAGTCCAACAATTAAAAAGTCAGGTAGAAGTCTGTGCTGCAGGTTTATAAAAATAGGTTCATCCATAAACATTTGCTTAAATTGTGTTTAAATCTCCAGTGCTTTTAGCTGTACTAACACATAGAATAGGGGGGAAATGTAGACTCTAAAATGATCTAAAACAAAATATAATTTTGTTTAAACAAAAAATAAATATTATAAATTATGATTTAAAATATATTTCCATTAATTTCACATTGAAAAAGCTAAAGTATAAATATTTGAGTGTTATTTAGCACATTTGTGTGTGTCATACCTTGATTTCAGGTGTGCCCTCTGCTTTGGTGCTGTGTGTTTTGGAGCCATCTGTCATATGGGCCTCTGCCTTCACCTCACTCTTCCTCTCAGTGGAGCGTGGACGGCCCGTGGGCGTGGATGTCTCTTTACGGTCAGTGCGGGCGGCAGATGCTACTGGGGAAGGAGCCATGTCGCCTGGGGAGATGGGAGACATGATGGGAGCGCTGACGGGACGGGCGTTCTTATCTGGGGTCGAGACCATGGCTGTCAGAGAGAGATGTATAGGACAGAGGAGAAAGAAAGAAATTTTACACTTAAGTCATGGACTATAAATAAATATTCACTTTAACATACTGTAGACAATGTCAATTGTTCGAGTTTTGCCTGCTGTAAAACCAGTTCAGGTGTTTGCTGTGCAACTCTGATGAGAAACATGGTTCAATTTTAAGGCCATCAAACATAGTAATACACATTCTTGGCCTTATTGTGATTATTATAGGATAAAGCAATCCTAAATCGTTTGCAAAAAGCAACTACCCTTGTGAAAAAGAACATACTTATGTGAGAACTATACTGTTCAGACATTTAATTGCATGTTAACTAAATATAAATGAAAATGTATTATATATTAATTAATACTACATGCAATTAGCTGAATGAACTTCACAGTGCTTTTTGATTCACTTAAGTAAGACTTAAGTACATCTTTATATGAAACTTAATATAATTATTCTATTGTATTGAAATATGGTTAAATTGTACTGCTGGATGTACAAGGATATTTGATAAACTAAAATATCTGTCATTTCTATTGAAATTTGTATGTATGTACAGAAAATATATTATATATTAACTTAAATGTTATACTGAAAAACACACTACAATTAAAATCAGTTAACACATTAAAATAAGCATACTTCTTTAAATCAGAACAAAATATTATTAAAACAGATTTTAAAAGTATTTTCATTTTTATATTATTACAAAGTTCACTTTTTAAAAATGTACTTAAGCGTGTTAAGAAACAAGTGTGTTTAAAAATGCACTTAAGCGTGTTAAGCAACAAGTGTGTTTAAAAATGTACTTAAGCGTGTTAAGAAACAAGTGTCTCTTAAGTTCACTTAAGTGGCCTTTTATTTCCTTAATATTATATTAATCTGCACGTACATTTTTTTTAATTTACTTTTGAGATTTGAAGTACACTACAAGTGCACATTCAATACAATTAAGCACACAAGGGCAAGTTAAACTCAACTCAAAATGTAAAAATATCTCCAGGATCATGTAAACACAGTAACAAATGCTGTTGTTTTTTGTAAGAGCTGAATGTTTCGGAGGAAAGAAGATCAAGCTGAGGGGATAAATCTCTACCTCTGGTCAGATGGGTTTCAGAAAGAGTGCAGCCCAGGAGCACAAGCCAATCAAACTGAACTGTTTCTTTCCATGATATATATTTTTTAGTTTCGGCTCTAGGACCTTCATGCCTTTTGAACTGATCAAGCTCCTGTCAGACTGTGGGAGATGCTCTGGGCTAATACTGACCTGCCAATCAAAGACAACTCCAACAAACATAAGAACAACTGCTTAGGTACTCTGAACCTCACTCTGCATGGACTTTAATGTCGTCACAGGTGCATTCTGGGAGTTGTGTTTCACAAAAATGAACAATACCAAACTTAAAAGCCTCAGGAAGCAACTTGTCAATCAAACTGCTAATCAAAACAGCAATCTGTCTTGCTTTTCCTTCTACAAGTATTTCAGAGAGGGCCGCTTGCTGATTGCATCAACTGACTATGTAGGATTCATGGAGTTTTTATGTAAATAACCTACAGTCTGCAGAAAGTAATTAAATATGTGTCCGTGTTCTACCTGAGGGCTGAATGGTTAAATTATCAGTGGGTTAACCAGGGTTGTTTTTCTGGATCGCACCCCTGCTGTGATTTCTCTCCCACAGTGAGTTCACCTGCACTGCCTAAAGCAAGCACGGTTTATTTATACCACAAGAAATCACCTCCACTTTACCTCAGAGACACTCTGGCTCCGTTCCAAACTCTAGTGAGCTGTCACTGTCCACACAGGCTGCTGCCTTAATCGAAATGCAACCTCAAGAGACACACTCTCCATAGGTACCAACTCTGAACAGCTGATTCCAATGGGGTAACACTTTATTTTAATAATTAGCATACATATTACTAGCATACTGGCTGTTTATTAGTATTTATAAAGCACATATTTATGCCTTGTTCTGCATGACCATATTCTAGATCCCTCAAACCACCCCATACCTAAACTTAACAACTAGCTTATTAACTATTAATAAGCAGCGAATTAGGAGTTTGTTCAGGAAACACTCTTAGTTAACAGTGAATATGTGTTCCCTATTCTAAAGTGTTACCGATGAAACAAATATTTCTAAATATTATAAAAGCTATCATTTAAAATGCAATGCTTCTTGACTAGCCTTGTAAAAAAAATGTGTTTAATTGTACTGAATGTGTATGTTATAGTGTACTTCAAAGCTTAAATTATATATATATATATATATATTAAATTATTTGCATGTAATCTAATATTATTAAAATAAAAGGCCACTTAACTGCACTTAACAGAGAGACATGTTTCTTAACACACTTAAGCACACTTAAAAAGTTGACTTTTTATAATAATGTCAGTCAAAATTAAGTTTTGATTAAAGTACATTTTAAATCATTGTGTTTTAATCTATTGCTGTATTCTAAAGTACATTGTGTTGACTAAAATCACATGCAAAGTACTTGATTATAACTGATTTAACTAATTAAAATAACTAATTTTAACTGTAGTGTGTTATTCAATATTACATGTAAAGTTAGTATATTTGAAATGTACTAAATTGCAATTTCATCATTACAATATATACATAGATGAAATAAAAGTTTTAATAGAAATGTCAAGAAAAGTATATTTCGTTTATCATAAATGCTTGTCAGTACATTCAGCAGTTCACATATTTACAATAGAAGTGCATTTGAAAGTACATATGTACCTACTTAAGTTCAGCTAATTGCATTTAATAAAAAAAACTATAATACATTTTTATTTAATTGCAGTTAACAGTGTGCAAAAACATTACATAATACATTCAGTTCACATTTAAGTTTATTCTTTTAAAATACATTATTTCTGTTATTTCTGTCAAGTGCTAAACGGGAAAAGTATGCTAAACGTGTATTTTTTTCACAAGGGTCTGAGATTTATGAAATGAAGTATGAAATGCTGTTTTGGATTTCAGCTAAATGGAGGCATACTATAGAGCAGCATGAGTGTGAAATGAACTTGACACACAGTTTGAGTCACATTTCAGAAATACACTACTGTCAACATGACTTAGCTAAAATTTCAGGCACAAAATGGCCAGCAGGGGTTAAAACCTACGCTTGAGGACTGAGAAAGCTGTCCAGCATCAGGTTGTTAGTGAGTAGAGCAGCCTGAATACTGAGTCTCTATCTGTCCTTCAGCCCAAAGCCAGCAGAGACAAATAACTTCTGCTCACAGCTAAAATAAAAACAGATGCTTGCAGCACAGCTTACATAAAGAGTCTGAACCTCCCCATGGGAAGTGCATTAGAGAACTGGTGAAACGGAGATTGAAAGAGAAAATAGGATCCCAAACAGAGCAAAAGTGAGAGTCAGACTTGTGATCGAACTCCCCGAGGTGACTGGCAGTGATTGGCCAGAATCCAACAAAGAGGGCCAATCATCTGCCTCTATTTTCAGCCTAACCAGCTGTATCCATACGCAATCAGAACGGACTAAAGTAAATGGCAAAAAGAAAGGGAAAAAGAAAAGACTTCATTTTGATAGTCCACTTTAAACATTCTGCTGACTATAAGTAACTGCAACTTCTACTAACCCTAACCTACTAATAGTCTAATGACTGCTAGTTGACATGTAGTTGCAAAGTTACTTACAGTTAGTAGAATGTCTAAAGTGGACTATCGAAATAAAGGAGAATAAACACACCTCCATCTAAGCTGCGAGACGCCCTCTTACTGGCGGAGCGCTGGAAATGCGGAGCGGGTCTGTCGATCATGGAGCTGGCCTGGCGGGTCTGGGCTTGAGTTCGGCCGCTGTAGCGGAACTTCGATCCCAGAGCCAGAAACTTCCTGGGAGTGGTGGCCGCTTCTGTGGACGTCAACCTGAGACCACAGAGTTCACGTCTCTTCATAATGTACTGGACTTATGAATTCACAAAAACACACAGTCATTAAGATGGGAATACATGCTGTGATGTGTTGTTTGATATTCATACCTGAAGAATGTGTGATGCTCCACACACACTTTCCACAGTTTCTTGGCGGCCTTGTAGTTGGGCAGTTTAAAGCCAATGGCACTTTCGTAATGTTCCAGCTAAAAACAAAAAATTATGAAATACCATTCTGAATCTAATAAAAAAAGATATTTAGTATATGTGAGCATATATGTGCACCTTCTTGCACATAAAGATGTCGTGTTTAATCTTTGATTTTAATTTCCAGTTAATTGCACCAAGTGAAAAAAGACAAATCAATACATTATAAAATGCACAATTTAAAAGGTTTTATCAATGTACGTATGTTTCAAACATCAGTATCTGGATAAAGTTATGAAACAATGAAATTATTTTTAAAAATTAAGAAGCTGTCATATTGTTTTTTAATATGAAGTTTGATTACGTTTTCATATTTAATTGTATTTAAAAGAACAGAAATTAGCTATACAGATTTTAAAAATGTACAAATTATTTTGGAATACTAATAATAAAAAAAAAATTAATTGTTAAACATTTATTTTAAATAATGTAAAATAATTATATTAACCATGAATTATAATTAGAAAATAAAATTATAAAATGAAAATTAATTATTAAAACATATATATTTAAGTATTATACAGTATATATATATATATATATATATTTCACATCTTGCAACATTAAAACAAAATGTATATCAAACTTACGTCAGATGGCCGTATCTTGATGAAGAAACTGCTGCGTTTGTAGGAGACTTTGAGAACCTTTGGCCAGGGGAATCGATTAATCCTCAGCTTGTCCTTATACACCATCAGGCCACTGGAGCAAACACCCAGCATTATATCCACTCCATCCAGATCCTGACAGAAAGAGAAAAAAAAGAACAGGAAAAAAAAGTATATAATATTTTGACTTTGATGACTTAAGTCTTACTTGAACTTACTTGAATCTCAGTGTATAAACAAAGATTTTGCAATAACAAAGCTCCACCACTAGGGGGCGGCCTTGCTTCTCCTTTAAAAAATGAGTCCATAATTTATTTAAATCCATGGCTTGATGCAAACAGATTGACCTGGTTTCAGCTACCAAATCTGAGCAGTGTCAGGACATGCAATGCTTTTATCACAAGCACTCCTGTGAGATGAAGGACATTTCAGTCTAACCAATGTTTTTATGACAGCTCAGATTGATGATTTCACATAAAGAATGCAGTGGTTTAATCAGTGCCGAGGAAAGTCACATTGTCTAACTGGGACATGTAATTGAATGTATTTTAAATCACAGCACACCTCAGTAAATGGAGACTTAATGTATTTATGTAATGTAAATGTATTTATTATTATTATCCAATCAACAACCAAAGTTACTGTAAAAAATTAAATAAATTACCAATAAATACAAAACCAACTTTGTATAAAGTATTTAAATATTATAGGTTTTATGCCATTTTAGCATTTATTTTATTTATTTATTTATTCCAAATGTTTTAGAAAATATTATTATATCATGGATTTTTTACTGTATTGCAAACATTGCAATAAAACAACTAATTTAATAGCTAGTGTGGCAATTTTCTGAAGGTTAACCATTTTTTTTTATTTATTTGTTTGTTTGTTTTTATTATTATTTATTGTATTTATGCATTTATTATTATTTATTATTTATATTTTGTATTTATTGTAAGTATCTCCAGTTAATCTACTGTACCTTTGCCTGATGGAGATCAACCCCATACATGGCCAGTTTTTTAGCATTCTCCAGGAACATCATATCAGCCTGAGCCGGACTCATAGATCTGTAGAAAAACAAACAAACAAAAACTAGTCATAACAACATACCTTGCTACAGAAAAGGAAAGTGAAAATACTAAATATTTTAATGCTAACCTCTTGTACATGTGCATTTATTTCAACTGCGTTAACAAGTATTTCCCAAGCATCCATTTATGATAAGAATATATGTGCGTAAATCATCAGCGCACCAGTAAGAAGCAGTCATGATCACCTGTATGTGCGGTGAAGCTCCATGACTTTCTCCTCCAGCTCCTTGGTCTGTCCTGGGATAAGCTGGAGCTCCTTGGCATAGTCGGTGCCGTGAACCTCGAGGTCGTACTCGCCCAGCTCAGACTGCAGGGCGTAAGATCCCAGCAGGGCCAGGGTCACGAAAGAGCAGGGCAGGCGGCCGTTCTTGATGTCCTTCCGCAGCTGCAAACACAAGTAGTACCTGCAGAGCGCAAAGACTTTCATTTAAGCTCAAAAACTCAAAGACATTATGTGCCAAGTTATCACATGTTACAAGTTGGGACAATATGTTGTTGCAAAACATACTGCACAGGAGTCCAGAACTGCAACCATGACAACAGCAGTAAATTGACGTCAACGCGCTGCTGTGATTATTCAGGGTGAAAGGGCTTTTGTAATTTACGAGTGTGATAATGAAACTGGCTAGAGAATTGCATGCCAACTTGGTAGGAAACAGCAGGAGGCTCTCTCTATTTTATTAATGATTTAATCTGGCAAGTATCGGAGATTAGTTTTAAAATTAGTAAGCAAGCAAGAGAGAGAGAGAGAGAGAGAGAGGGAGACAAACTATTATCATATATGGCGAGAACTGGATATTAGTAAGGATGACAATTGTGAGGAATTTAATTCTTCTGGTTCTGATTCTAATTGTAAATTCACTTCTTTTTTGTGGAACTTGTTAATCAAGTTAGCAGTGTGTCACAGTCTGCAGCTGGAGTGCCCAAGATGGCCACCAGAGAGCACTCCTGTGGTTTTTTGTGAGCACATGGCTTGTGTTGTGTTTGTTTGTCCTCAAGTATGCTTGTGGCGTGTATTATGTCTGTCTGTATTGTTGTCCCTGGCCTGCCTGCCTGTTTTCCCCCTCGGGGTAGTTTTTGTTGTTGTTTTGTTTCATTTTATTATTAAAGGGGTCATATGATGCGATTTCAATTTTTCCTTTCTCTTTGGAGTGTTACAAGCTCTTGGTGCATAAAGAAGATCTGTAAAGTTGCAAAGACTAAAGTCTCAAATCCAAAGAGATATTCTTTATAAAATTAAGAGTCAGCCACGCCTACCTAAAACGGCTCGTTCTAACACGCCCCCAACATGTCAACGTCACGATGTGGGAAGATTTGCATAACACCGCCCAAATGTTCACGCAAAGAAAGAAGGAGTAACTTTTATTCTCGCTGTAGTATTGTTGACGCTGCAGCCATGTCGTGAAGACGCTGTGTGCTTCGTTGTGAAAGCGAAACTACATCAACTTTCACCATGGACAAAGCGGAGTCCAGCCCGGGGTCGTCACATGTGGTTCTCATTCGTCGCATCCGCCGGGCGCGCCGTTCTCGACCCCGCCGCCTCAGCTCACTCTTGCCCGGCCTCAGCTCACGGTAAGCCGGGGCTTTCGCTCATGCTAGGCCGCTGTGTTTTTCGTTGTGAAAGCGAAACTACTTACACGACTGCAAATCAGTGGTTAAGTTGTATTTACAACACTGTCCCAGAACTTCAACCCAAATATTCAGACGTGTCCAGTGCACCGCCGGCCGCGCCGTTCTCAAGCCCGCCGCCTCTGCTCACTCTAGCCCTCCGGCCGTTCCTCACTCTATCCCCCTTGGCCTCTGCTCACTCTAGGCCGCCGCCGCTCACTCAAGGGAACCTTAAACCGCATAAACATTTCATTACACCAAATACACAAAATAATGTTCTTTTTAGCAACATCATATGACCCCTTTAAATAACCCTTTCTTCCTGCAACTTGAGTCCTCGCCTCATCTCTCCACACGCACCGTGACAGAACGGATTAGCCAAGATGAGGAAGAAGGGTGTGCGCCATTCACCTGTCTCCACTCTCACTAGCCCCCTCTACCAACGCATGCTCCAGCTCAAGGCCTTGAGCTCCCTCCGTCAGCAGGAGACTGACTTGAGGGAGTTCAGGCTCACAGGCTCACGTGCTGCGGAGGGGCTGGACTACAACGATGCGGCTCTCAAGGACCTATTAAACTATGCCCTTGATGAGCCCATCAGCATTTGGAGGAGGTTTGGCATGGAGCACCTGTCTTTTGGGGCGTTTGTGGACTTTCTAGCCCACAGGGAGAGACAGTCAGTTCCTGAGCCTGTTCACAAGATGGCTGCCAGTCCGGAACCTCTTCACCGGGTGGGCCCAAGGCTTTTGAGACTGGCTTCCAGGTTGGTGGATCCACCGTTGATCTCAGCCAGAGCAGCTGGCATTTCTACTGTGGGCTCAAGTCCGGTGGTCCTGGAGGACCCGACTCTGGTGGTCCCAAGTCTAGTGGTCCTGGAGGGCCCAACTCTGGTGGTCCCAAGTCCAGTGGCCCTGGAGGACCCGACTCTGGTGGTCCCAAGTCCGGTGGTCCTGGAGGACCCGACTCTGGTGGTCTCAAGTCCGGTGGTCCTGGAGGACCTGCCTCCAGTAGTCTCAGAGGTCACCAAAGAGCTGCCCGATTTCACTGCCCGCTGCCATAATCAAGAAGGTCGTCTTTGCCTTTCACCTCATGGCTGTTCTGCGGGCAAAGTCCACTCCAGAACCCACTCCAGTCCGGGAGCCTTCAGAGTCCACTCAAGAGCCAGCTCCAGTCCAGGAGCATTAAGAGTCCACTCATGAATCCGCTCCAATCCGGGAGCCTTCAGAGTCCACTCAAGAGCCAGCTCCAGTCCGGGAGCATTCAGAATCCACTCAAGAGTCAGCTCCAGTCCGGGAGCCTTCAGAGTCCACTCAAGAGCCAGCTCCAGTCCGGGAGCATTCAGAGTTTAGTCATGAACCCGCTCCAGTCCGGGAGACTTCAGAGTCCACTCCAGAGCCTGCTCCAGTCCTGGAGCCTTCAGGGCCTGCTCCAGTTCCTCCCGAGGTGGCGGCTTCTGCTGCAGAACCTCCCGAGGTGGCGGCATCCACCTCAGCTCCTCTCAAGTGGTGGTTCTCTTCTCTGCCTGCTCCGCTCTGGTGGGCTTAAACTCTGCCTGCTCCGTCCTGGTGGGCTTCAGCTCTGCCTGCTCCACTCTGGTGGGCTTACACTCCACCAGCTCCACCCTGGTTCCATGATCTACCTAAGGATCCTTCCCCTACATGGGCCTGGCCCGCCGTCCCTCCCCCTAGTCCACCTCCATTCCGCCCCCCTCCTGGATTCCTTTGACATTTGGTGGAGCGTCTGGAATCCGCTCCTTAAAGGAGGGGTTATGTCACAGTCTGCAACTGGAGTGCCCAAGACGGCCACCAGAGGGCACTCCTGTGGTTTTTTGTGAGCACATGGCTTGTGTTGTGTTTGTTTGTCGTCAAGTATGCTTTTGGCGTGTATTATGTCTGTCTGTATTGTTGTCCCTGGCCTGCCTGCCTGTTTTCCCCCTCGGGGTAGTTTTTGTTGTTGTTTTGTTTCATTTTATTATTAAATAACCCTTTCTTCCTGCAACTTGAGTTCTCGCCTCATCTCTCCACACGCACCGTGACACAGTGCCATTGCTGAATGCACATTTGACACCGGGTACTTCAGTAGGGTTTCCACTTGCTTTGGCTACTCGCATGTCCTGCTGCTAGGGCTGCACAATATCGGAGAACTTCTACTATGATTGAGATAATATTGTAGGACAATGCATCTGCATATAAAAATCTGAAATGGTTTTATTACTCTAAAAAAAGGTATGAACTACCCTTTCAGGACTGAACGAAAATTTGTATGTTCACACTTGGTTATAATCTTTACATAAACCAACTGCTCCAAGGAACAGCGAGTGAGTGTTTGCTTGATACTTTGTTTCTGTATCTGTTGTTTAAATTGTTACTTGCTGCTTAGAAGGATTAGTTTGTTTTCTACCTATTTCTACTTTAAATTTTTCGTTGTAATTTGTATTTTTGATTGCACTTATTTGTAATTAGAATAATAGCCATCGGCTAAGAAGGAGCTTTTGTTATTTATATTGCCCCGTTCCTGCACTTAAGTAAGAACTTTAGTTTCGATTTGAGCAATTGCCCTGCTATAGGCTTTTGGGTGTGCTAATTAACAAGGTGGCCACAGCTGTTTTCTCTGAAGTGTCGTGTGGCTGTGTATTTATTTGTTATCTGTTAGCTGACGCGGAAGCGTTCAGCCCTCATGTTCAGCCTCCTCGTGTGAAGACCTACGAGTGTAAAGACCTGCGACTTTTTCCTGCGCGACTTTAACTGAGTAACGAAACCGGGCAACTCACTTAAGTACTCTCTTTTTTCCCTTTGCACACTCCTTTCTGTCCTCTCTCTTCCACCTCTATCATGTGTTTCCAAAACATTCCGGCTGTCTCGCAACAACGCTCTAACATCACTCTCAGACGGCAACACAATCTTACTAACCTGCTTCCTATCTCTACATCTTCTACTGCACCTCTTTCTTTTTCTGTGTGTCTCTGGAATTGTCAGTCAGCTGTCAAAAAAGCAGACTTAATTTCTGCTTTTTCTTTGCAATCCACACTCAGCATCTTGGGCTTGACTGAGACCTGGATACATCCAGAAGACTCCCCAGCTGCTCCGTCTAACAACTTCTCTTTCTCTCACACCCCTCATCAGGTAGGAAGGGGTGGGGGCACTGGTCTGCTCATTTCTGACAATTGGAAATACTCAATCCACTCTCCCCTATGCAATTATAACTCATTTGAATCTCATATGATTACTGTAACAGCTCCTATAAAACTTCATGTTGTGGTAATTTACCGGCCTCCTGGGCAACTGGGCACCTTTCTAGAGGAGCTGGATGGTCTGCTGTCCTCATTCTCTGAGGATGGCAGTCCACTTTTAGTATTTGGCGACTTTAACATTCATCTGGACAAGCCTTATGCTGCAGACTTCCATTCACTCCTAACTTCATTTGATTTCAAACGCCTTACCACCACAAACACTCACAAATCAGGCAACCAACTTGACTTAATTTACACACGCAATTGTATTGAAGACAACATTTTGGTGAAACCCCTACACATCTCTGACCATTTCTTCATAACATTTAACCTACGTCTTCCTACCTGTGTGCCATCAACCCCTCTACCTCTTAGTTTTAGACGAAACCTACATTCCCTTTCACCCTCCCATCTTTCCTATGTAGTGTCTTCCTCTCTTCGCTCACCTACCCTTTTCTCATCTCTGGATGTTAATGCAGCAACTGACACTTTATGCTCTACTTTAACTTCTTGTCTATATGATATATGTCCTCTCTCCTCCAGGCCAGCACGGGCTACCCCTTCTTACCCCTGGTTATCCGATGTTCTTCTTG